CTATATGTCAGTCCATTTGATAGGAAGCCAGATTGTGGGAGGACATTTTTGCAGTTGGAAAAGAAAATTGAGAGGTTTGTGACAGTCAGTAGTTTCCATGATCCTCTCTTCCGTAGTCATGGGCCAGTCCATGGGAGTGCATTACCCTCTGAAAACTCAAACAAGTTCTTCCTTTGTTTCTAACCTTTCATTGTGCTATCAGAATGAAGTTGTTGAACATGGTCCTTTATGAGAGCCTCATGAGAATAGGTGTAAATCAGTGAGATACCAAAAAATTCAAAGTTGCAAATATGACTTAGAGGTTAGTGTCCAAATGGGGATATTTGATAAAACTTAAGACTTTTTTTGTCTTCTATGTGCTGGGAACTTAATTTAAATATATTTATATTAATTTTTAGATCTGTAGGTCTAAATCAGAGTATAGACATTTAGCTGGGGTTCATGCATTTAAATAGAGGATTAATTAATTTATTATTAGTACTGTATTTTGCCACTCAGTTGAATTACCAATTATGTAAACTCATTATAAGTTTTAAGTTCTTATACTTTACAAAATAGAGCAAGGTGTTTGTATCTTCAGTACTTCTATAACTTTCAATCCATTTCAATTTCCCCAGATACATCTCCCTATTCCTATTCTGCCTTGAAACACAAGGCTAGAGATTCCTCATACTCTGGTGTAATTGTCCCAAACATTTTTACCAAACATTTTATTATGAAACTAGTGAGGTTAAAATGCAGTTGAAGTTAAGTAAAGTTAAAATACAAACTTTTCTACCTTATTTTTTTTTTTTTTGGAATGGAAGAAAACAAGTGCAAGTGATTGATTGTTATTATCCTGTTCTTACATCAGTAATGATGTACGAGGTTTTATTTTAGATTTATTAGACCCTCATCTCTATTGCAGTGTACCTTCCATGCTGATGGTCACAACAATATAAATGAAAAAAGGTGAAAATACAAGTCATGAAACTGGACACTTAGTTACCTGAAGTAATAGGTTGTGTTTAATTTTTGAGTTTCAAATCATTGTCTGCCCATCACATTTATGATCATATCTGTAAATGATTAAAACATTTTTGTTTGAAGCTGATTATTACTGAAATGCCAAAAATAAAAAGTGAATGGTATCAAATAGCAGACCCCTCTTAAGAAATGCAGTAACTTATAGTTAGAGGCAACCTTTCCCTGAAGTACACCATAACAATAAAGATGAAAGGTGTTAAACCTGATGGGATTATTTTTAACTGAGGCAGAAATTGGCAGAAGATGTAAATCATTTATACTACACACAGAAATACTGCCTACAATTAGATCATGCCCCCAGTACAACCCTTTTGTATTTTTTTGTATTTTCCTTTCTGGTGTGTTGGATTTCTACATTTGGGTGACCACTCACTGGGATTGTTGTTCAGAATCTCCAGTCAAGCACTATGATGATTATGGCCAGGTGGTGTATCCATGCCGTGCTAAATTCACAGAATCACTGAGTCAAGCTAAATTCACAGAATCACAGAATGGGTCAAGTTGGAAGGAACCACAGTGGGTCATCTGGTCCAGCCTCCCTGCTTATTCCAGAGCACATGGCACAGGGTTGTGTCCAGTCAGCTCTTGAATGTCTTCCATGAGGGAAATTCCAAACCTTACTGGACAAACAGTTCCAGTGCTCGGTCACTGCACAATAAAGTATTTCTTCCTCACTTTCAGGTGGAACTTCCTGTCCATTATTTTCTGCCTGTTCCCTCTTGTTCTATTGTGCAGCACCACCTATTTATAGACATTTATGAGGTCCCCTTTCAGTTGTCTTTTCTCCAGGCTGAACAGGCTGAACTCTCTCAGCCTTTCCTTTTAAGAGGGATGGTCACTCTCCTAATCATCTTGTTTTGTCCTCTTTTGCCAATGATGATTTGGTAGACCTCTCATGTCATCTTTCCTTCTTCTTAGTATAGGTCATGGAGACCTATTCCATTCAGTCAGTCCTTTTATGGAAGATTTTTTCTTTTCTTTGATCATCCTTTTTGCCTGTCTGTCTTAGTTTTTCTGTTCTATTATAATATTGTTCAGACAGAAGAACCAATCCACAGTCACTGTTTGCAAGTGCTATACAGATTTCTATCATTTCATAATGATGTTTTCTGTTCTGTTTTTTTTTCCTTTCTTTACTGTTCATACCATTTTCTTTGCTTTTTCACTTCTGCTGCAAACTGAGCTGATTTCTTTACAAACTTTTCATAAAATTACTTTCTTTATTAAGCTTTTAATTATTAACAAAAAATTATTTTCTGAGTGTTTTTATCTAATAAACATGGACCATACCTTAGCTTTCCATTGCCATGGCTCACACATACCTTTTTAAAAATGGTGTCCCTGGTAATACAGCTATTTACTAGATGGACAACCTTGCCATGCTGCTAACAGGGAGACTGTTAGAACTCCCTCCTTTAAAAGAGTAATGGCAAGGAAAATGGTACAATCATGGCAAATTGGATATTGATTGATGGGGCAGTGGAGCTCAGAACTCTTTCCTTAATCAGCACTGCCCTCTGATGATACCTTAACAAGTAACTGCCTGTCAGTCACGATTAGAGGGAGTCTTCCTCCCACGCCAGCCCAAAGCCCCACCTTGTAGGTAATGTTTGGTCTAAATGATTTGCAGCTGCAAATTGTGATGGAGAATAGGTAACTTCAGATGTAAACACAAAACACAGTTATTTCAGGAAAGAAATTTACAAACAAAGGAACCACAAATAATGAATCCTTCTTTAAAGAAAAGAGGCTTCATGAATACTCTCTTACTGACTGCTGGATGTCATATTTCTGAAACCAAACAGTTCCTTGTTTATGATGAAATGAAATCATTTGATAGACAGATGTCAGGCATGCTGTGTTGTAGAAGAGCAGCTGTTTGCAATATCATTAAAAATTCTGGCAAACCCAAGGATATTTAAAGCAGCTGCTAGACACTTTCCAATATTATGATGTTTCTATACTGATTCTTGGGAGTGCAATTCAATTTCTTAATAATAAATCTTTGAATTTTATTTCAAGGCAGCTGAATTAGACTCCTACTTCCTAACTGACGTGTAAGAAAGTCTTCAATTTCTGTGAATTTAGAAAATTATACCAAGTCCCAAAAATTTATTGGGGACTATATCCCAATGCCTTAAAAGAAAAACAAAAATAACCCAACCCGGACCAAAAAAACCCAAAAAAATAGCTAGTGTGAGCTTTAGAGCTAATTTCGTACTTTTTTTTTTGTTTGCTTCCTTGCTGAAGGTGTTTCTCAATAACAAAATGGACAGAGTAATTTGTGTACTTAATTCCTTGAGATGCCTATGTGATTGATAGAAAAGCATCTATTCTGCTTTGTTAGGAAAGTAATTGTAACTTATAACCTCACTATAAAAGACATGAAATAGAAGTTAATAAACAGATTCTAAATATTCCAAAAGGAGAAGTCACTTAAGTATTGCATATACGTGATAACTATGTATTGCTAAAAGGATAAATGGAATTATCTTTACATCTTTCTAGTAAAATAGAAGCATATGATGAAATACTCCACCTCCAGGTGCCTACTCAAGATACCTTGAACCAACACTTCAACCCTGATTGGTTGGTTTTTTTTCATGTTTGGTTGGCTATTTTTCCCCCAGGGTTTTATGCTTAGCTGTAGTTGGGATGTAGTTAAAAGGCTGTGGTTGTAAGGCTGTGGTTAAAATATCCCTCATTCAACTTCTAGTTGGCTCATTATACCTTTCAACTTATGCCTTCTGCCATGCTATTTGGTGTCACATTAACCACCTCTAAGTGGTTTGAACTCACCAGTTTGAGTTTCCCAGCCAATGCACCAAATAATATGGTGGTTTTAGCGCTGGCTAAAAATACCAGTGCACTTACTCATTTCTTGCTGTGAGATATGGATTAGGAGAAGGACAAAACAGACTTAAAACTTAAAAGGTATAAAGAAACTTTATTAACAGGACTACAACAATAATAAGCATCAGAATAAAACTTCCAGAACACTTCTCCTCCCCCTGACCAACTTCTTTCCTTTGCTAACTGACAACATAGAGACAAAACCTGGGATGTTAAATCAGTTACCAACTATAAAATAGTCTTTCATCTTTTCTTGTAAGGAGATGCCTACAAGAATTCTTGCCATGCCATGGATACTTCTCCACAAGAAACAGTTCTCTCATGGCTTTGCATTTCCACAAATAGCAGCTGTCCAGGAAATGTTCTGCATTGTGAAATTCCTCCCATCCCTCCAGCCCTACTACAGCATTGTCCATGAGCCATGAACTCAAGGGGTATTATTTTAAGGATGAGTTGTTCAAAGGCAAAGGTTCTCTTCATCTGTCTCTGTGGTCATCTGTGGTAACAGAGGTTTTCTTCTTCTCTCCCTGGGGTCAGCTCTCATCTCTCTCTGTGTTCAGGCTTCTCATGGGATCTCACAGCTACTCCAGCATCTGCTTGGCTTTATCAGTGGATGTCTCTGATAAGATCTACAGTTTGAATACTTCACCCCCCCATACTCTCTCATGAATTAAAGGGGATAAGTTCAGTGTATCACTGTCCATCTCCATGGCATTATCAAAAGAATTTTCAGCCCAACACTAAGGCATCTCCTCATTCACCTTCTGTCTAGGGCTTGACTCCTTCTTTACTGACCTCAGTGTCTTCACGTTGTCTTCTACATGTCCTCACTTTGTTCTTTTCTCTCACTTGAGGGGAGAATTGTGGTCTGCACGTCTCATCTGTGCACTGAAAGGGTTGAATCTTGCCAGGCCTGCAGATGGTCGTAGGCAGTAGCAGCAACACACATGGTATGGATTTCAGGCTGTGCTGGGCACCTCCCTCTGCCCAGCAGCTGCTGGGAGGGGAGGCTCAGCCTGGAGCCATCGGTGCAGGCTGGGGAAGGTTTATTGTTGGTGAGATGTCAGCAGCCGTGGCCTGGCCCAGCCTGAGGCCTCCATTCCCCCCCTGGGAGCCGCTGGGCTCCGGCCCGGCCTCCTCCAGGCCGCACAGGCTGTGGAGGAGTGGGGCCGGCTCCACCAGAGCTCAGATACCTTCTGAGGCCAGAAGCCGAGAGAGAGTTCCTGGGTTTGTGGTTTTTAAAATGTGGATCTCACAGAGGTGAATCTAATTTCTAAATGGTGCAAAATGCTGTCAGTTCTCAGAACTAGCCAGCTATTGGCCTGTCCTATGCAGAGAAGAAGCTCCCAACAGCTTCTCTTAAAGAAATCACTTCCGTGGGTGCTTTCTTACTTCTTTCCCAAATGTCAATCAATACAAAACCAGCACACCACCCTTCCATGACTTGAGGTTACACCAGGTTGTACAGGGTTGTACAGGGCTTAAGAGATTTGACCTTGAAAAACTATTTCTTTCAATGGATCTCATGTTGCACTTGCAAACTATTGTATTCATAATTATTCATGGGGTTATACTTACCAAGTGTCTATTTAGCTTAACAAATCAATGCACCTGTGAAATATCTGCTACAGCTTGCCTTCTTAAGAGAGCACCTGCAAAGCACAACTGGTTTTTATCATCATCTCAACTCCTCCTCATTTTCTTTTTCATTTTTACTTCATGGAATTTTTCTTTCCATATTTTACCCTTGAAGTGGATCTCTGGTTTACCTAGGCTCCCTTAGAGATGTCATGGTTCACATTCCAAAGCAGGTAGAATTACTCTCTGGATCTACCTTTTCCAGAGACTAAAGAGGAAGAGGGTCTAGGCAACCAACTTACACTACATCTCTACTGTGTAGACAGCAAAGGAAAGGAGAGACAAAGTCCCCACTTCAAATTTATAATTAAATGTCCTTTCCAACAGATAAATAGTTGGATTTTGAACATCTCTCTCTGCTGGTTCACAGTGTTAATTTTCTGGATTTTTATATCAAGGAGATATAATAGTCTGTTTTGCATGTTGATTACTCAGAATCCGCATGAAAGCTTCGTTCCAAATCCACCTATTTCTGAAGCCTTTTTCTAAGGCTTGCTGACCTTGTTGCAATGTGAGTGAGACAAGTGAGACAGTTGGAAATACCCCAATACAGTTTAACAGATCTGTGCTGCTGTGAGACTGTAATGGTTCACCTCTACTAAGAAGATAAACTATAATGTAAACCTGTTACCATGCAAATAAAAAAACACTTAATTTAAAATCACAATATCTAGTTATCACATAATTCTATGCTTTCTTAATACAATCTACAGAACTACCCATGGTTGAGTCCCACAACTACTGTGGAAGAGAATAGCATAGCCTCTGATGGTTTTCTTTTCTCCAAAATGCTAGTGTGCTTCAAAATTATGTTTAGGACTACAGCAAGCTGCTGACCACTATAGAGTACCAGCTCCACCTAGACTGTAAACACATAAATCCATGAAAATCAAAATTGAGATTCTTAATACAATGTAATGTTCTCATTATAATTTTTTCATAGAAAACAGTTTTAAAGTGATGATCTGTAGATAAGGAAGTGCTCCGCAGTAAGTTCTTTAAATCAGCTGTTATAAAAGTACTGTATAAATAAAATCATCCTATTGGATTCCTGTATTAGATAACTTCTAAGCAGCATGTAAGAAATGAAGGAGAGAATATTTTATTCTTGTGATGTATGCAGTGTTCAGCTTTGAGAAGCAACAATGGCAAAAAAAATAGTAAAACCTTCCTCTGTTTCCAAAGTGAATATGTGGATGTAAACAATTCTTATTGTTATGAAGGAGTTTAAAAGCTCCTCGGATTATTTAAATGTCATGGGGAAAAAAAAAAATCAAACTTAAGAAAAATCTCCATTTCATTTTTCTAGCATATGAACTGTGTTTGAAGAAAAATCCTGGATGAGTATCACCAGAGGTGTTACTAAAGGAGCATCAGCTACTCTACAGGCAAGAGAAGGAAGTAATAATTTTGCTAAATTTGTTTCTGGATTCAGTGGTTTAAAGTAACTGACTGTTCCATGGCTTCTGGCAAAACACATTTTTTTACTGCAACTTCTTTTTGATGCTGTTTTCAAATGAGCAACACTATCAAACTGAGTACCAAAAGTTGGCAGAGCTTTTGCATATCTCTCCCTCTTACACTATGACAACATGCTTTTTAAAGTAGTTTCAAGAAAGTCCATTCACATCTTACAGAAAGCAAGAGAAACTCTCTTTTTGCTACTATGCAGATAAATGCTGCTCATGGTCCAAAGTATAATCAGTAGATTATACTTTATGTTATCTAGTCAATGCAATTTCTGCTGACCTGGATTTCAGGTAAAGAGTCAAAGTCATGCATACCAAAATAGATAATGTGTACAAAAACACCTCCTATACCTCCCATAGAACTCCCAACAGCTTGTCTGTCTTGATTGCAGACCTCCAGGCATGGCCTTCATACTCTTCACATTTGAATTGCATATCTCAATTTCTTTTGCATTAGAGCATTAATGATGGGTAATATGTTCTTCACAGCTTTTTCAGCCTTTTGGTTCATGCACTGAGAAGCACTTCTGATATCAATCCCATAAATGATACCAGGGTCATTTGACTGCCGCCATCACTTAGGTAAAGTAAGTTTGCACATTAGATGTACCATGGTGGAGCCCCAGACTTGCCTGCCCTCATCAAGGGAGGATGGTGTCAGACAGGGGTTTCAGACCCATGGGTGTCATGAGTGGGACTAAAAGGATTTTTTGAGGTATTAACCAAATCTCTGCACCTGTTTGACACTTACTAATGAAAATCAAAGTTGCAGGATTTGTGTTTATAAAGGGATCCCTAAAATAGTATAAAACTTGGTTGAAAATGACATGTGGGGATATTGGACCTTACTTGTCCAAGCAGGACTATCTTTAGAGCTGGATCACCTTGCTCAAAACCTTGCAAATTGATAATCTCCAAGGGACAGAAATCTTAGAATAGACTTTCCTAACTTCTAGGCTACCCTACTAGTAAAAAATTTGTTTTTTACTATACCCAAACTGAGCTTTCCAAGAAACAGTTTGTGCCCATCATCTCCTTTTAGCTCATCTGGCATTACAAAGACATTGTCTCTGACATCTTTGCAAGCATCTTTAAAACAGTTTCAGGAACTGTATGATTTACAATAAGCCAAAATCCTGAGGAGTTATATATAATTTCCCATCCAAAAAGATGGAAAGAAAAGAAAGAAATTCTAAGTTTGGAAAGATGCATCTTTACTTTTAAAGATAATTACACTGATGAAATTTTTGTTCAGAGGGGTAGCTGCAACACCATATAGAGATTCCTTTGTCTCATTACATTAAAACTAATTAGAGTTATATAACTACAGCTAAAAATAGAGAAATATTATTTCTTAAATTTTGGCTTTCATTACAGGTTGATATTATATTTATTTTATTCACAGCAATCATATGTTATGCAAGCTAACATATGATAAGGAATATTTTCAGAGTGTGCTCTAGCTAATAGCATGTTCCTGAGCAAAGGGAATTAAGGTGTAAAATTGAGGCCAAAGTTAAAAGAAAGTGACTGCTCTGAATGCTATTTAAAGGAATTTAGAGAAATGAAGGCAACTCAACATTTCAGATTGCTGAGTGCTGAGGATGCTATTTTTGGTGTGCTCTGGTGAATTGGTGTGAAACTCATGGCAGCTGATACTAATTGTAATGAAAAGATACTCGTAAAGTGGTGTGGGGTACAGCTGTGTATGCAGTTCACTGTCTGAATGTATGGAGAAGAGTTGCCTCAGGGAAAGTATGAAGTAAATGCTGTTCATGAAGAATAAAAATACTCAGCCCTTGGAAGGCAGATGAATGACCTGAGCGAGTTAAATATATATAGCAGTATACAAATAACTGTTTTAAAAAAATGGTCGTTGCTATTTTCAGACTTGAAAGCCACAAAGTATTATGGCATTAAGCCATTTGAACATACATCCAGATCTAAGATCTTTACTTGATTTTTCTTAAACAGATTTCTTTTATAGGTTTTGCTTGAATAGAATGAACAGTTATAACTTAGATTTCCTGAACTCTTAAATGTTATTATTTGTTTTATCAGGTTTTGATTGGGATTTTTTGCTTATTACCTTTGGCACATATTTCAACAAGTGCTAGTAGAGTCAAATTTCCATGTATTTTGAGCCCCAAAATGGAATTATTTAAATTTTATTAGAATTTTCATTTGTACCCTGCTGCAAATCTTAAAAGTGAAATATAAGATGTTGTTTTTTTTAAAAGCCCTATGGTCCTGTAAATTCTGCAGCTACAGTAATGAAAGTAATGATTATCTATTATTACAGCTTACTTTCATGACGATGATTTCTCTTAAAATCACAGTATGAAATCTGTGCATAGTTTAAACTAGGTCTCATAAGATCTAAGAACACATTCAGACAAAATGTGCTTAAACAAGAGGAAAATTGAAAAGGATGCATCACTTGCCTAAATCTTACATTTCCAGTAATAGCAAAGCCCAGCTGAAAATCACAGCAAAATAATAATTTGTAATTTGAGGCTGGAGAATACTCTTAGTGGAGTAGAACCTGCCTGAGCCCATCTGAGATGAACTTTAGGTGGTTTGGTTTTTTAATGAGGTAAAGGCCTGTTTGGTTATGTATGATAAGAAATCTCAACTTGCAGATTTGGGTTGAGGTGGAGGAAATTAAGCTAGTCCTACCTGGTTGAGCTAAAGTATTGAAAATCTTGATGGTCTCTGTGAGAAGACACTGTTCATTTTCTAGAATATGTAACCCTGGAAGGTCCTCTAGGCTCCTGCCCATAGTAGTATAGATATTAAAAAAAAAAAAGCTGAAATACTGCTGCTGTAGAAACTGAAGCAGTATCTTGTTATCTCACAATTCAGTTGTTGTTTTATTGTGTCACCTGCATAGTTTCCAATTACTCTAGCAGATTTTGTGTGTTAGGAAAACTTAGTTTGATGCAGAACAATTCAAGAACTTCTAAACATAGGTATTTTTCATGAACAAATTTGTTTGTCCAGGCAGCAAGTCTGACACAACCCAAACTGGGTTGCCTTGCATATATGTTCTTCCATGTTGGTTGGGGGTCTTTTCTTTGGTTCATTGGTTGGGATTTTTGGTTGGTGGTAATGGTAGTGTTTTTATTCACTTTGATGGTTTAATCTCTTAAATTATCCTAAAGGCGATTTTCCAGTGGTGGTTAGTACCACATCTGCAATCTGAAAAAAGATGTATTGTACAGGATTTTTCCTAATCAAGTTCTAACAAGAGAGAAATTTTTTAATCAAATCATGCACTTCATAAATTATCTGAGAAGAATAAAACATGCTGATTCCTGTGCATATCCCAGAATGGAGTGGGTGGGGAAACACAGTCAAGCTTCTAGTCTGTGAGAAAGAACAATGAATTGCAAAAGAGGGATCAAAGGATAAGCTTAAGAGTGTTACTGCTGTAGCAAAAATAAGCTTAACTTTATTTGATAGATATTGTTTGGGGAGTTATTTTAATAAACGTAAGTAAATATAATTACGTTATATAAATGCTGTTATAACTTTATTCTCTTCTTTGATTTTTGAATAGAAGTGCTCTATGTATTTGTAACTTGTGGTCTAAAAGGACAAGGAGCTCTGAATCACACTGGGACCCTCTTTACTGGTATTGCTAACACAGTTGGATTCCTGTACTGTAAAGGTGGTAAAGATGAAGGAGCTACAAATGACTAGGCTTAAGGAACAGGAAGGTAAAAAGGTACAGCCAAGTTGGGTAAGAATATCTTGCACGTTCCCTCTGGATTATTGCAAGGGCCTACTATAGCTGACTAGGAAAGATAAATTTGATCACTTTAAAAGCATAGTGCTTTTCAGTGTCTGCTCAAACTCAGCACAGTAGGTATTTGGATGTGTTCAGTTTACCTGAGCTTTGAAGTCTCTTCTTCAAAAGCAGTGAATTGCAGACTGCAATTTTTATTTAAATTAAATATTGAATTTATTTTAAAATTTTTATAGATTCATTTATATTAATATAAATTTAAATATAAAATATTTATAGAATTAATTTAAGGATTAAATTAAATTATTTGTTTTAATATTAAAAATATTTTAAAATATTTCTCTGCTTACATAGTTTAATAGCCCATTTCATATGGCTTTGACAATGCTGAGAAATCCTGCTGGAAAATGTAACACTTCAGGATCTGTATTCTGTATAACAAGACAGAGTTTATTACTTGTCATGTCTGATACAGAACACAAAGACTGGGAGACGGAAAGAGTAAAAGCTGTGTTTTCTTCAGCAGTAACTGTTCCTGGCTGTAATTCCTTTCCTCTGAAGGCCGGATATCCTCCTTTGTTTGACAGCATCTCAAACTTGCTGATGGAGGGCAGCTTCTGATATTTGCTGCCTGTGTAGGCAGCAGGTCTTTTTGGGCTATGACCTGGGGCATGAGTCATTCTGGATGTGATCAGGATGCAAAAGTGGCTGAAATGCAAAGTAAGGGTTCTTTAGAATTGCTACTGTGAGTGTGCTCCAAAAGGTGGAAGTTACAGAAAGAAATGCATAAACTTTGAAGATCCAGGTCAGTTTTCCAGTATTCACTGGAGTTGACACAGTGACATGGGAATTTTGTTAGTTTTGTCTTAAAATTAAAGAATAGTCTTAAAATGCAATACCACTGTATTGCAGATTGTTAGCTCTAGGGCAAGACCCAAGAAAACATAATCTTTGCCCATTCCAATTTTGATAAAAATAACGAGGGGAATTAATACTGAGAGTTCAGTACAGCATGTTTCAGGATGGGTATATTCCCAGTTAACTGAGTATGCATCTCTAGTGGATCTCTGAGATCCACTGTAGACTAGAAGCAATCAGCACTCTCTAATCTGTGTCAATTTCAGGTTGAAAGATTCTCAGAATATGTTGGTTTCCATAGGGCTGTGGTCAATAAGTCCACTGATTCTTGCAGGTATCTGCTCAATAAAGGGTAGGCTTTCTGCCATGCCATCTGTAAGTGGAAGAACTTCTTGTTTTCTGAAAAAAGAAAAGTCCATTTTCATGTGATATGATTCTTAGAAATTAAAGCAGTTGGATCAGCTTTACAGATTTAGCCTGAGTCATGAGGAATATGTGCCTGACAAAACAGAGGAGAGCTGTGAAGTCAATTTAATTTGGCACCTATGAAATTTTGTTTACAAATCTTGAGCACAATAATTTGGTTAAACAAACCCTGCAAAACAAAATTTATGCCATGCAGAATGAGGTGTGTAATTTTCATTCTGAGAAGAAATGCTTTAAAAATGAGTAATTTAAATTATGGCTGTCAGTAATTTTTAAGATGAAAGCATACCATTTTCTAGTAGCTTGTATATTCTTCTTATAATAGATAATTTGGTTGGTATTTGAGGTCCTCTATGTCCTACATGTCAGAGAGACTTTATTTGTCATGATGCAGAATATTCATGCATTCAGCTAAACCAACATTTCTCCACAAATTTCATCAAGTATGTGATGTATAAAGTGGAAACTTAAGTATTAAAGCTATATAAATGAAATGTAGGGTATGTAGAATAATTATGAAGCTCTCAGATGTGTAATGGTTCAATACTAGCTTGTAGCAGTAAAAATACAATTTATCCCACAATATTTTACTTGAGTAAATTTTAGAGATTCTGACTTGTCTACATTACTTGAGTACCAGTGATTTTCAATGTGTGTTGGCTCCTAGTTTTATAAGTTGTATATCATAACTGGGTAAGTGCTAAAGATCATAAGATACACAGAGCTTTGGATGTAAGCGGTTCTGGAATTAATCACTCTGGTCATTTGGAGAATTTTGCTTATGATACAGTCTCTAGTTATGTGGTTCAATATAGGCAAATGCTAAAAGCTAGATTATAAGAGATGAATGATTTAACACTTCTGTAAAAATAATAGGCTCAGATTCTCCTGAAACTCTAACCTGAAACTTGCAATTAATGATTGACAAATCAGTAATATTGTCATTCCTGAGGCCATAACAACTCACTACTCATACTCTATTCTTGACTAGAAGTATTTACCTTAGGTTTCTAGGGACTTGCTAGCCACAACGCTTGTAAACTAAAGCAGGAGTTTGAATTTTTAAGTTCTTAACTCATCTTCAAATTAATGTTGACCCTTGTGTAATTTGGACATTTCCTGCTTCATATACCTTCAAAAAATGTTACCTAAAGTTTCATATTAGCAAACTTTAAATTCCTGACTCAAAACACTTTCTTGCAGTTCTCAGTGAACTGCACCCAGTACAAGCAACTACTTTTTTTTTCAAAACACCTTCACAGACTTTTTCCCCATAACAGTCTAACAAATCTTAGTGCACACACAGGCTTTATGGAAGAAGGTAATATATTGAAATTGGGCTCCTATAATTTAAATATCACTGTCAACTAGAGGCTGCATTAAAAGTGAGGTCTGAATTTCGCATTTGTCAGCATAGTAACAGTAACTTATATGTGTTTCGATATATATGATATTAGCTACAGATAACACTGTACTTCCCTGCACAGTCCATCTAAATATTTTAAATCTGGAAAACCTAGAAGCAGATGAGTAACTGTGTGAAGCCATTTTTTAGCCTCATATTTTTTCCTAAGGTTCACCTTGCTGGTCTTTCTCATTCTTGTATTGATTGCTGTAGTAGCAGAAAATATTTGTAGCCACAAAAATAGCAAAATTATCTGAATTGAACTTCTCTGCATTTTTCAGAGTCAAATCAGATCATGTAATTGCTTTTTAAACTTCCTTCTCAGTTGTTTCCTGTCACACTTGATTTTGCAGTGGGTTCAGAACAGACCACTGCAGTTTCCTAGAGTTGTCCTACAAAGTTGATTTGAGGCCATAGTCTATTGCTTGTCAGAGTAAATCTTAGTAATGATTGCTTCATGTTTGCATTTGCCAAATGTGGTGAAACTCCACTGAAGCTTTTTTGCCTTTATGTACATTATTTATATTTATTATAATATATATATATTATATGTATAAATATCTATAATATGTATATTTATAATTATAGATGTTTGCAAATATGGTCTTCCATTTAAGATCTCTGAAAGTCAGGTTTTGTCTGTTAATTCCCTAAACAGTGTGTTCAGTCCTCTTCCAGCCTCTGCACTGTAAGAGGTCACAGATAAGACCTGAGAAAAGTACTTGATGAGAAAATCTCTTTAGACTCTTCACACTGCCATCAGCATTTAATGTTTCTTAATCCCTCCCACTTCTAATTTACTTCACATGCTCAATGAAAACACTTATCATAAAAACTAATACCGCTGCAAGGATTTTGCATATGTACAGAAAACAGAATTTAGCTGTAAAGTAGTCAACTTAATTGTAATTTTGACAAAACTAAGTGGTAACCAAGATCTCAAGACAAAAGTACATTACAGCCATGATACTTTTGTTTGCTCATATACTATCATTTGAGGCTATTTAAAAGAAATATTTTAGTTCCAAAGAAATACATGCAATGAATATGAGACTAAGGTACCCTCCTCTAAGTCTATGAACATTAAAAGTTATGTGTCTCTCTATACTTTTATAATATTCAAAATACTCTTGTGCAAATATTCAAAATACTCTTGACATCCAGTCCATAAGCAATTCAGACTACTTGTCACATAGTTCTCCAATTATCAGAATCTTTACATGGTTAGAAAATCTGCAGTCGGGTAGAACATTTGCAGGCCAGATGATCAGTTTTTAAATTCTTGTTCTGAGATAGGAGTTGCTCTATGTAGATGTTATAGAAATCTTATTCTCACCTTTTAAACGATTTGAGAAAAAAATGTAGTATTTTATGTTCTGAATTCTGGTAATCTTAGTTTTTAGCTTGTCCTATCTCACTTGAAGATTCTTGATATTGATCTAATGGTCATTTTTCATTTGTCATTTGTCATTAGGATCAGAACAAGTTGTCCCTAGGAGTTATGTGGCTTGAGAAATTATTTAATTTATTCTATTTTCTATGATTTTGTTCTATTTGAGGTGTGTTGAGCGTGATAAAATGGAGTAGTGTTTTCCAGATGTCTTTAAAAGGTTATTCAAATAAAAAAAAAAAACAAAACAAGGAATTATCATCTTGTTAATCCATAAATCTCATGCTTCGTAATGGCAAATCATCAGGACTAACCAAGAAAGATGCAGCTTCTGATGTTGGGATGCCATATATAGGATTGTTCTGTCACTTACTCAAGAAGGCTTTATGTCAATTTTCCAACATGTAGATCCCCCAAATTGTGACATGTCAAAGATGAAAAAAAAATATTTTCTTATTTCTTTCCTTGGTTAGGGTGATCTATCTGCCTTTCTGATGTGTTGGGTATAGATGAATAGGCCTGGAAAATAAGAAAAGGACAGAGAAGGCTCTTTCTTATCTCTTAGATTCTTACAGGAGAATGCTGGAAGGATAAAACAATGTGAAAATCAGTGAGTCACAATCTATAATTTAAACATAATTCACCATGACTCATTCATGAAATGCTTTTGCAGTTTCATGTGACAAAACAATAACCATAAGCATAATCATCACTGCCTACTCAATCTTTTCTTTACAGCTATGCAATTCCGTGATTCAAATGATTTTGGAGAGTCTTAGCTGATAAAAATCATCACAAAACCATCAGAAGCAAAACAACTCGATGACTTAGAGCAGCTGTGTGGTCATACTTTTTTAAGGGTTCAGCTGGCACAAGCAGCTTCAGTTGTTACAGACCTCTTTCCACTCCTTATGCAAGAAGGTGGCGAGTGTAAGTGTTCTGGGATGGGCAGCCTAATCCAGACTACTCTCTTAAAACCTAGCTCTGTGCTTCCAGAAGATAACAGACCTCCTGTAGTGTTGCTCAGTATTGCAACCACAGTTTTCCTTATATTCCAGAGGCAAATTTGCCCTAGAATAAGATCTGTGGGTCTGCCTGCTAATAGATGTTGTGGCTTCATTGAGGTCTGTAGAATAAATAGCAGTTATACAGCTCTTTTAATGAGTGTGTCCCTTATTATAATGTCTTGATTTGGTGTTTCATGCCTTCCATGTTTCTTGCATGACCTAGCTTAAAATACTAAAAGAAAACTTAAAAAGCTGGATAAACAGGCATTTAATACAAGGAGTGTTGGAAGACATCAAATAATTATATCAATGTTTCCACTAAATTAGAGGAGCTACAGCACATTACTGCATTACATGCTTTCAAGTAAAAAGGAATGTAGGAAAAAAATATGGAATATTAATAAAAATCCAGTTTTCCAGAAGAATCCAAGGTAAAGAAGGACTTCTGCAACCGTGAAGTGGCTTATTTTGTTACCGGAGTGGGAAGATATAACATTTTTCTCATTACTACCATAAATCCAAAATGCTAGACACTGGACAGAGCCTTCTCAATAGTTTCTAGAAGCAGTGTCCTTGTAAAGGAAATTTGCATACTGTGTCTCGGATTAGCAATCTGATTTATTCGATCATTGAAACCAATAAATTGCAATATATTAAATGGCACGTAATCAATCATGGTTCTCAACATCTGTCATATTAAAAATTTCATCAATTATACAAAGTGGCCTTCCCAAAAGGAGATTTTTCAATTGACACTGAATGATAAAATGAATATAACTTTAAAGATGGATTTTTTTTCTTCTAGCAGTTTCGTGTGACCTTTCAAATTTCTTTACAAGGTCTTTGGCAAGTTAACTTTGCATGTTAAATTTGTTCTGTGTACCAAAAAGTGGACAGAAAATATGTCTCTCTACTTCTTCTGAATAAAATGTGTTGCTAAATAATACAGTGAGGCCTGGGATTGGTGTCCTTGGTTGAGGGCTTTGGTGATATTGCATCTTTCATAATCCAGTTCAAAGCAGAATTTCCTTCAAAATGTCCCATAAACTTTTAAAGTACATTTAGTCTCATATCTGACGAGCATAACTTAATTCATTAGACTGCATTTTTATGTATTTATTGTTGTTTATAACATTATCTATTTAGCTAGTTGTATAATGAGACATTAAGAGGAGACAAATATGTTAAACAAAGTGGTATCAAAAATTTACCATTTAAACATTAAAATGTATTCCAGGCCTTAAACGTAATATGCCATCAGAATATAAAATAAACCTAATTTTCCATCATTAACTAAAAGGGATCCTAGAAAATTGTCTAGTACTCCCATACCAAACACCAGCACTAATTCGTAATTCTCTCAGTATCTGTGAAGTGTATATGTAAGTATATATATCTGTGGTATTTAAGATAATTATGGGTATTCCATTACATCCACAGGCAGTCCATGGCTGAAGTCTGTCTTGTAAGAAGCATTTCTAATATCTAGCCTGAATATTTTTAACTAAAATCCATTATTACTTTTTGTCCTCCTGTGACCATGAACTGATTGCTTCCTGTCTTTAGATACATAAAAACATTCCAAAAGAGGCTTATGTAAGCTTTGAATAGCCCAGGATAACTAATCTAAAGAAGGGAACAATCTTTCATATAGGATCTGCTTTGGCCCCTGATCATTCTTCCTACTTTTCTCCTGTTCTGTAAAGTTGATCTACACTTTTGAAAATTACTATGAAGGTCTGACTGTTACTGGGTAAAACACATAGGTAAACTTGTGTATATTTCAGATAGTGATTATGGTCTTTTCACTTTGGCAATTTTATTTTTAAAAGAAATTAAAAGAGAAATCGCTTTTTTATGTGTGTGTAATATACTTATTCTGATACATTTCTCCAGCTTAAAAAAAAAAAAAAATGCTCAAGGTATATTGTATTATACATTACCTATTATTATATAATTAATATGTATAATATATTGTGAAATTAATATGTAGCAAATATTCTATATATTATATATCACATTAATACAAGTGATCAGTGTAAAATAATAATTTTCAGATCTATAATTTCAAAGAAAAATGTAAATAAACTTTTTTATGTTTTTTGGGTTTGTTTTTTTTTTACTTTTTTATTTTTTTTTTTATTATAAAGTCTTGGTTATGCCATCTTTATGGATTGTTTTAAATACTTTAGTTCTGAAAGGTTTTATGGAGACCGTGCCACAAGAAATGCAAGTGTAGATTACATATTTTCCTGCAATTTAAGTCATCCTATAACTACTTGACATCTTGATCATGAGAACTATATAAATTGTTTTTCTCTAAATCCTTCTTCATTTCATCTAGTTTATTTGTGCTGCTTCCACCTCAGCAGTTTTGCAGTGTCAGATATGTGGTATCAAATCTCCAGAGGAAACACAAAGGTTAGTCCTGGAAAAGATGACATTCCTGAAGGAAAGAGAAAATAAGCACAAGGTTTTCTGGGGTGCAGTAGGTTAATTGGTGTCTCTGAAAATTAGGCTGTAAGTGGGTATTGTTTCAGTTAGAAAATAGATTGGGTTTATGAGGCAGTTCTTTTTATATGATTGAATTAACTCTAAGCTTCTTTATGAGCTATTTATATTGATGTCCAAATCTTCTGCTAGCAAAAGGAAAATACTTTCTGAGGATGTAATTAATTTGTTTTAATCTATTCTGTAGCTTAAATTGAAAGAGGGCATAAGCATCCCACTTGAATAGCTTGCCAAGACACCATCTGATTTGATTAATAGTCCTCTGGATCAAATGTCAGCTTTCTTCCTAAATAAAATAAATTTAAATTGCTATCTTAATATAGAAATACGAAATATATGTAGTGTGCTTCAATATGACCCCTTAGGTGCAACTTGCAGTAACACGAATGAAAGCTCCCAGTTGTTTTAAGTTCAACCATAAGGCAGTGCCTTAGCAGTGCAATCAGTTTGTCCTAGATTCCTTCCAGCATAGTTCAGGATGCTCTCTGACAAGCATATGTAATCCTCTGAGAAGCCCTGTGTTGTGAAGTTCTCTTTTAGATGAAATTTTAAATAGATTAGGCTTTTTTTAATTTTTTTTTCCTTAGGTTTAATTTCCAGGACTTTACATGCATAAAAACAGAAATTATGTCAGAAAACATTAATATTCTGTTACTTTCACAAAGTTTTCATTTTATGTACCTGTAATATACACATCTGTGTATGTTAGAGTTGTCATGCAGCTTTTTCTGAGGGAAAAATAAAATACTGAAGCTGTCACTTAAACAACTGAAAGAGTTAGGGTTTGCTTGTCTATATGAAGCTTTAGAATTTGAATATTCTTCCTGGATATTACAACAACTGTAGGGGGTTGTCTTCTTTATTTGAGAACAGGTTGCCACTTCTTATAAGAGTTGATTGGACTTTTTAAGTTTTTCTTCTCCACCAGTTAATGTTACTGTTACTTGATGTTAGTCATCATATAATCATTGATAAATTATCTTTTGTATTCCTGAAATACCTCACCCTGTAGTGTAGTCTGGCCAGCAAAACTTCAGTTCATAGAACATACTGTCTACAGAAAGCACTAGTCTTCTTTCATTTTGTTTAAAAATCTAATTACTGGGATAGTCCCATTTGAAATTTCAAGGGTTATTTTTGATTTTTGCCACTCTAGTCACCATCAGAATCATAACTGGAGTCACTGTGCATATAGCACATTTTAAATCTGGAATATCTGGTAATGAGGTGAGGCTGCCCCAGAGCTGGAGCAGAGCAGAGCAGAACAGAGCAGAGCAGAGCAGAGCAGAGCAGGACAATCCCCTCCCTTGCCCAGCTGGTGATGCTGTCCCCGATGCCCCCAGGACACACTTGGCCCTCCTGGCTGCCAGGGCACTGCTGGCTCATGTTCAACTTGAACCCCAGAACCCCAGGGCCCTTTCCATGGCACTGCTCTCCAGCCTTTCATTCCCCAGTCTGTCTGTACAGCCATCCAGCCCCATCCTGGTGCAGAATTTGGCACCAGCCCTTGTGGAACTTCATACGGTTGGCAATTGCACAGCCCTCTGCTGTGTTGAGGTCTCTGTGCAGGGCCTCCCTACACCTGAGGGAGTCAACAGCTCCTTCCAGTGTTGTATTGTCTGTGAACTTGCTCATTATCCCTTCCAGGCTACATCCAAGTAATTTACAAAGCAATTGAAGGCCACAGGGCCTAAGATGGAGTCTGTGGAGTCCCACCAGTGACAGGTCACCAGTCTGATGTCACCCCATTTACTGTAACCCTTTGCACCTGACCCATGAACCAGCTGCTCAACCACCACATGCTCAACCACATGTGTTTATCCAGCTGTGGGCTAGACATTTTGTCCACAAGGATACATTGTGAGACAGTATCAAAAGCCTTACTGAAACCCCAAAAGATTACAGCAACTGAATCCCCTTGATCAACTGGGTGTGATACCTTGTCTCAAAAGGAAGTCAGGCTTGATAAGCAGGACTTTCCTCTCAGGAAGCTGTGCTGGTTGGAACTAAGGGCTGTATTGTCTTTCAGACATATTTCAATTTTCCCCACAATAATATTCTCCACATTTACTAGGCACTGAAGTGAGACTGACAGATCTGTATTCTCATGATCCTTTTTCTTGCCCTTCTTGAAAATCAGGACAACATTCACCAGCTTTCAGTCTGCTGGGACTGCACAGGATTCCCAACACCTCTCAAAAATCGTTGAGCATTTGCAACAACATCAGCCAATTCTTTGACGATTCCTGGATTAATCCCATCAGGCCCTGTAGATTTGTAGGTATCCATCTGTAGCAGCTGATAACTGCACAGTTTCAGGGTTAATGGGAGTTGATAGTTTTTGCACAGTCATGGCCATCCATCTCAGGGCATTGAGATCCCCCTTGTTCCACCATCCATACTGAAGACAAAGGTAAAGAATGTGTTAAACACCTCTGCCTTATCTGTGTCCCTGTTTGTGAGGTGGCCATCCTTATCCTCTAATCGACTGATGTTATTTTTACAGTACCTATTGGATGCCATTTCTAAAAAATTTGTATTCTCCCCATTTCTGGCCAGCTTCAGCTCCAGTTCAGCTTTGGTCACTCAAATTTTCTCCATAGAGTGAAAAGCAGCATCTCTGTGTCACACATGTCATACAACCTTGCTTCTATTGGACATTCATCTTTCTTTTTTTGCCTTATTTCCAGGAGAAGATTACTGTTCTGGCCTTCTGCCTCCCTTGTTTAATTTCCAACATTTAGGAATGTTTCTGTGCCCTTGGAAGGTGATTTTTAAAAACTAACCAGTACTGATGGACCCCAGCACCTGCAAAAACATTTTCCCAGAGACTTTAATTACTAAATTCCTGAACAGTCTGAACTGACAAGTCAGTTCTCCTCATGTCCAGAGTTGAGGTTTTGCTGGCATATTTTGTCCTGTCAACAGAGATTTTAAACTCAATCACTTTGTGGCTACTGAGGCCAAGACAGACACTACTCAGGAGATCCACTCAGTTGACAAGCAGGAGATAAGAGGGCATCTTTTTGAGTCAGCTGTTCTCTCCCTCATGCTTTCCAGAACTTTCCAGTTTTTGTGATAAAATACCAATCTTCAGGGTAGAAAGACTGAAAACTTGAAAGGCTATTTTTTACATTTAATTGCCTATACAGCATGCTGCATTTAAGGTAGGAACCAGTAGGTTTATACTGCACTTCCATGCTCTGTCTGTGCTTTCCTGCACTGGTGAGTGATAGTGAGTCTTGTTTCCTCTTGTAACTTTAGCTGCTGAAAATTTAAGCCGTATGTTTTCTCTCTTCCACTGCAGAGAGCTGTCCTGGAAACACAATAAATTAGAAGTTGCTGTCATGAATGGATTCATCTTCTTAAAAAATATATAATTGTGTACATTAGTTACTGCAGAAGTTAGGAATTTTGTATTGATTTGCCTTCCAGATCTTCCTAATCATTGCAAAGAAAATTTTAAATAAGCTATGATTTATTGGCTAAAAATGTTTTGATTTTTTCCAGAATCTGTAGCAACCCTCCTTTCCCATGACTCAGTAATTCAACACATATTTCTGGTATTATAGCCTAAGCCAATGTCATTTACAGTATTGCTAAACTTGTTTTATTTGCCCTGTACCAGACTCCAATGAAATTATTAAGTTTTTACATAGCATCTTTTTGACTGAAGGGAGAAATCTTTGATACTAGATGTAGTCCATGTTCTTTTACATCAAGTAAAGCACCAAATATTTGTGAACATGGTAAATAGAGAAAAACAACCAACAAATCACAGAATCACAGAATCATGAACTAGGTTGGAAAAGAACTTTAAGATCATTAAGTCCAACACCTTGTCATCAACTAAACCATGCCACTGAGTGTCATGTTGATCTTTTAAACACTTTCAGAGACAGAGACTCCACCACCACCCTTGGCAGGTGATTCCAGTGCCCAATCACTCTCTCAGTGAAGAAGTTTTTCCTGATATCTAACCTAAACTTCCCCTGATGCAGGTTAGACTGCTGGTTCTGTCAGTTGCTGCCTGGGAGAAGAGACCAACCCCTACCTGACTACAACCATCTTTTAGGAAGTTGTAGAGAATGATAAGGTCACTTCTGAGTCTCCTTTTCTCCAGATTAAGCAACCCCAGCTCCCTCACATTCCTCAGCTTGTGTTCCAAGTCCCTCACCAGCCTTGTTGCCCTCCTCTAGATGCATTTGAGCATCTCAACATCCTTCCTAAACTTAGGGGCCCAGAACTGGACCCAGAACTGGACAGGTGTGGTCTCACTAGTGCCAAGTATGTGAACTGTTCTAGGTCTTAAGAACAAGAAGACATTCCTAATGGCAAAATAAGCTATGGTTTTTAGCTATTCAAGAAGATGGATTGACCAAAAATTTATTCTGATTCACCTACAAAATGACACCTGAAACAAAACCTGAAAGTTATGTCAACTGTCTGCTGCTTGTTACCAACAGATAAACATGAGACATCACAAAACTTAAAAGGAAGCTGAAGATATCAGTCTCAGGGCTTTCTGGATAACTGTTGATGTACAAAACACTCGCTCACTGTGAAAGACTTCTCCAGGGTCAAGCTGTTCAGGTATAAGCAGTTTATTACAAGGGTAACGAGAGGGAGAGACCCGTGTCTGCCACCAGCCTCGATGTCCATGTGGTCAGGGGGAGGGGAGAGAGTGAGGGGAGAGCAGGAGAGGTGAGGTTAGAGATGGAGAGGGAGGGATCGAGAGAGCGAGGCTCTTGTTACAATCCATTTTATGCTTTCCTATAGTGAATATTCTAATTCCCAGTAACCAATCACTACGAGACACACCCACTAAAGATTTTACATACAGCCTATAAGCATCACTACATTATCATATAGTTTTGCATTTCAAATTCTAAAAGCTTTACAAATTCTTCCCTTGCTTCTTGACCTTTGGACTTTCTATCTGCAGAAGGACACTGTTTCATCATCAAGGAATCTCTCTCAGTTGGTTAGGCTATTGTTCTTTAGTCATATAGTAACCAACACTCAGCATCTTATGACTCAAAGGAAGCTTTCATTTCTATTTCGATTCTAGGCTTCATACCTTCAGAATCTTTTGTCAAACAATCATATTCATAAGGTTTCCCTGTTTCATCTTCCCCAACAGATAACAACTGTGAATTAGTAGTAAATGTAGTAGAAGTAAAGATTTTGATATGAAGTCACCTTTTATTGCAACTCATCCAAACAATTATCCTCAAAAGTACATTAGATGAAGAAGAATGACTAAGTAGACGTTCATCAGGGGTTCCACATCAACAAAAGTCAAAGTTACCTAAAAAATTCAGTAGGGTTCTAATGTCTTTTGTACATTAAGGCTTGTGACCATTTTGGACAGCTGTGATTTTTTGTTGTAATTCCCCTATTTTCCAATATGATCATGGGATGGATGTCTGTTGTTTCTTTTGTTCTAGGGCAAAGTGTGGTTACAGGTCTAAGCATTTTCCTAGGTACAGAAATTTCCTTGCATTACTGAGACCTTTCTATTAATCTCTCTTGTCAGAATTTATTTAAAATGTTGGGTTTTGTTGCATTTTTGTTGGTTTTGATTTGTTTTTTTCAAAATAAACTGATCCAGTTTTCTGTACCAGTTCATGACAATCTGAGCAAACCATCACCATTATTTTGTGGGCAGGCATAACCAAGGTTTAACAAAATCAGTAATTACTTCTGAGAAGTTAATGTGTATGTGAGAAGTTACCACAGGGACATTCAGTGTCTGAATCTTGTGCTGTAAAGACCAAACTCTTAAACAGCAGAAATGACATGTGGTTGCTCTTGTAGCTGTCACTGCTAACAAAGATCCTTTCACTGGCCTTGTGCAGCCTGTTATCTCTCTTGCTGGTGATCACTGTTTGTGACTCTGCCCTGTTTCTGAAGTGACAGGCTCCATTTATGAATAGATAACTATCATAGTAAACAAGCAATTGATTATCATTTTACTTAATGCTTTTTCTTTATATAGGGGAGTGCAGCTGGTTCATTCCTGACACCCTATGGTGCTCAGAACTAGAGGATGATTGTGATGGCAGCAGAACAAAGCCAAGGTGCCTGGAAACTTCATTGTTGTTAATCAGCAAATGAATAGGAAGATTTAATATATGAACTAGAGAAAAATATCCAAAATAACATAGGACTGTAAAGACCTACTGAGCTATCTGTAATATTACATTACAATGCAAAAATGTGATGGGAAAAAAGAACTTATTTATTCATACTAACTAATTCTCTAATGGGGAAAAAAAATCAGAAAAAATCTGTTTCTCTCCCCCTCCTCAGAAAGTTTTGATAGCATTTAGCTCATTTGATTAGGTGATATGAAATAAATTGTGACTATTGGAGAGAGAAGGTTATGAAGAACTGGAAGAGCATAACAAAATTAGGTGCCTGGGAGGCAGAATGACAGAAGAGACTGTCTTTTGTCAGTGCAAGCAAATGCACAGTAAAAGGGATAATTGTAACTGCAAACATACCTTGAGGGTATGTTCTAAATTAACTGTACCTTTCAGGAAAAAGGATCTGTGCATGAGTCCATGAAATTACTTGCCTGAAACATAGTTGTGCACTAGGAAAACAAATAAGAAAATCAGGATAGAAGAAGGAGAGATAATAAGGATTCCTGTAATTACCTTAACCCTTATGTAATGAGGATAAGAATGAAATATTAAGTATATTACCTATAAAACTTTATTATTATCCTATGTATTTGACACTGATTATCCTATTTAGAAAGAGAATATATAAATAGCATAGGAACATGGCTTTTATTTAGGCTTAAATTTACATATATAATTTATATTAATTAAGTAGAACCTTTTATATCTGAACAGTCATAATTTTTTTAATAGCTGTTTTGTACTGATGAAATTGTACTTACTTATTTGCAGGGAGAAATGTGGTTCCTGGGGAAATATAATGAACTGAGGTGAGGGGAAAATAAAGGGGAATTATAGCAGAGGAAATTGTTCCACTGTTACCCCATTTCTATAGTGTTATTGGAGAAGGTGAACGGATGAGAACATATGTAGCAGATCTCCTTGGGTGCTGTCACATGGTATATACAGGACAACCAGGGGATCAGATGCAGCCAGATGGGTTTATGAAGGGCAGGTCCTGCCTGACCAACCTGATCTCCCTTTATGACAGGGTGACCGGTTTAGTGTGTGAGGGAGAGGCTGTACATGTTGTCTGCCTGGACTTCAATAAAGCTTTTGGCACTGTCTCCCACAGCATTCACCCACACAAAACTGGCTGCTCATGGCTTGGACATGTGTGCTCTCTACTTGGTAAAACCTGCTTGGACTCCCAGGCACAGGGAGTGGTAGGGAATGGAGCTAAAACCAGTTGGTGACCTGCTGAGGCTCTCACTCATGGCTCAATATTGGGGCCAGTCATATTTAATATCTTAATCAACCAAGTGGATCAAGTGCACTCTCAGTCAGTTTGTAGATTATACCAAGCTGGGTGGGAGTGTTGATCTGCTGGAGTGCAGGAAGGCTCTGTAGAGGAATTTGGGCAGTCTGGATCAATTAACGCTATGAGGCTCAACAAGGCCAAGAGCTGGGCCCTGCCCTTGGGTCCCAAAAACCCCAGGCAGTGCCACAGGCAGGGACAGAGTGGCTGGAAAGTGCCCAGTGAAAAAGGAGCTGGGGGTGCTGGTGGCAGCAGCTGAACATGAGCCAGGCTGTGCCCAGCTGGCCAAGAAGGCCAATGGCATCCTGGCCTGGCTCAGCAATAGTGTGGCCAGCAGGAGCAGGGCAGGGATTGTCCCCCTGTCCTGGGCACTGGTGAGGCCACACCTGGAGTGCTGTGTCCAGTTCTGGGCCCTGACTGCAGGAAAGACACTGAGGGGCTGGAGTGAGTCCAGAGAAGGGCAGGGGAGCTGGGGCAGGCTCTGGAGCACAAGTGCTGTGAGGAGCAGCTGAGGGAGCTGCAATTATTTAATCTAAATAAAAGGAGGCTCAGGAGGGACCATATTACTTCCTCAAATACCGGAAAGGAGGTTGTACTGAGATTGGAGTCAGTCTCTTTAAAAAGGAAACACCCTCAAGTTATGCCAGGAGAGGTTTGTATTGGATATTAAAAACGCTTCCTTCATGCATAGGAAGCACTGAAACAGACTGCCCAGGAAATTAATGGAGTCACAATCCCTGTGGATATTTAAAAGACATGTAGCTGTGGTGCTTATGGATATGGTTTAGTGGTAGACTTGGAAGTTTTAAGTTTACAGTTTGACTTGATCGCAAAAGTATTTTCCAACCTAAATAGTTCTATAATCCTATCATTTGAAGGAAAGTTCTGTAGCTTCTTGACTTTTGATTGAATGATGGAATCAACAGTGTTTCTAGTTTAAAAATCTAGAACAGGATAATACAGGTTCTAAAATACAGCACAGAACTGTCCACATCTGCTCTATATGGTCTCCTGGACTTTTTATTTGCAAAGTATTTATTTATGGTACTGCAACTAATGTTGCAGTATCATAAATAAATTTAACTTTTTTAACTTAGTAACTAGATGCTGTTGTGTGTCAATTTGCTCTCTAGAATTTGAACTAATTTACAAGGTTCACTTGAAAATTATGCTAGATTTGATATCCTCCCATGAAAAGCATTTGTGACTGTTCTATATTTTTAAGATTTTACTTTGTTCAAAACAAGTCTCAAAACAGGAAAATCTTTAAGATAATGTTTGAATTTTAAGGTGTATTCTGGGAGTGACAACTGTCAGAGAAATCCAGCCTCTGAATATCAATTTCATTTTGATCAAGCATTACATCCTAAGACTGCAATTTTTTCCATAACTCTGAAGCAGTTATGTCAGTGTGATCACCATCTGCACTAGACACAATTTCTAATCAATGCTATTCTTTTATACTTATTTTCTTGAATGGGAGAAGCCTTTGTTAATCTTATATCACATTGGAAAAAGAAAATTATCTCCCTATGGAGCTCCATCTATCACAAAAGGAAAATAAAATATGAAGTTCTTGGGATATTGCCTTAATTTCTCTATTGGGACATTCATAAAACAAACTGTTACAAGCAGGAGAGAGAAAAATGATAGGACTCTGTCATACTCAGCAAATACCTAGATAACTAATGCAAATGCTACATTTTAATTCAGACTAAAGAACTGATCTTGAAAGAGTTAACATAATCAGTTAACTGTCACAATTTCTGTACGACCAGATTCTGAAATTAGCAATTTGCTGAAGACCTAGGGCTGTACAGTTCTGTCATTCTGTGTAAATTGCAAGGGTTAGCATGTCAGAGTGAAAGAGATGCTCTTAATGTTAATAATACTGTTTTTCCTTCAAGCCATTTCTGAAGTTGAATGAAAGTGCATGACATTAAAAGAACTAACTATGTTGTTTCCAGGTCCTAAAATACAAACCTGACAACCACATTGGAATTCAACCTGTATTTGAATACTTCGTTAGATTTAGTGAAAAAAACAGAGAATTTATGTAGATGTGACTTCAATGTGTTTGGACCCTGATTGACTACTGAAGGAAATCCCTTGCTGGTCTTAGCCTTTTGGATACAACTGCAGGAAGTATGTACCTACACCTTTGTAAGTTGCAGTTTATGTGTTTCAATTTTGTGTCAACAAAATGAAACTATGAAAAGGTAAGGGAGGCCACCAATAAACCAGGACAAGCAATCATTCAGCTCAGAACCTTATCTCTGAAAGTGGATGGATGAGAATTGCTAGAGCAAAACAAAAGAACAAGGACTTTTTTTACTGCTTTGTCTCCCAGCACTGAAATAAATATATTTCAAGAGGCTTAGTGTCTGTGTGTTTTATAGTCTTCTCTTCTTCAGTTTCAGCATCCACCATGTCTTGCCAATTCCTCCACATACGTACAATCTATGAAAACAACTTTCTTATGCCTTTCAAATGGAAAAACTGAGAACTGGAAAAAATACTTTTACCCTGTTGAGGACCGTAGCTTCTCTAATTGAGGGGATCAATCTCAAATTTGGTTGGGAGGGGAAGGGGCATGAAGGAAATGGGCAGAAAATTGCAGCTATTCCCTGCTGTGATGTTTTAGTTTTATTTCATCACTCATGTGGAAAGTTCATCTGTAAGGTAGCGATGAAAGTTTGAGCTCTACCATATATGTGTGCTGGATGCCTTCAAAAGGCAATGGCTTCTGTTATCACATGCTAGGTTTCAATAAGCTGTGCCTCAGAGGTGCTCAGCCTGAGGCATGAAAGTATTGTACACAGCCTGCTGTGACTTGGCTGACCTATCATGGAGGGCAAGGAAAAGACACAATTCTGTTGTACTTGAGGAACTGGAGCACTTTTACTGTAATATCAACCTTTATTTCTCTGAAACAGGTGACCAGCTTTGACAACTCTAACATGAATTAATTTAGTCTTATATTAAGAAAAAGGATACAGACTTTTATCTTATATTAAGAAAAAGGATACAGACTTTTAACTTTGGACTTGCATAAGGCAAAGATAAATATAAAGATATATATTTACCAGGTATTAAATAATCCTGAGCAACAATCTAGGCAGGCACTGACTGCCTCAGCAAGGGCTGTGCAGGACTGGGGTCCTGGGGACAGTGAGATGCACAAGAGCCACTCTGAGGCTGGCAGCAGCAGGGACCATCCCCATCCAGTGCTTCAGCACAGGCAGGAGATCGAGGGATGTGATGGTCCCCATCCACCTGGCATTTCCTGGAACACCACAGAGAAAATTAGCTTTGGTCACCTACAGCTGCAGAGATACAATTAGAGAGTCAAGTGGAGGGCCACGGAGGTAGAACATAGTTGCAGTCTTACAATACCTACAGGGCAGTGACAGAGACAATGGAGGTACTCTCTTCAAAAGAGTACAGGATGACAGGACAAGAGACAGCAGGCAAAGGGATAATTCTATCTCTATATAACACTTTTTTTTCTTGTGAGAAAAATTAAACATTGAAATAGACCTCACAAAGTGGAATCGGTAGGTTTAAGCAATGCGAGAAGTAACCATGCAACAAAATGTTTAGGTTTGATTTGGTTTCTGGTTTTGTTGCTAGAAAAGGGAGAAACGGAAATGAGGCATGAAACCTGAAACTGTCTAGGAGTTGCTTAAGCAGATCTGTGTTTTGTTCCTTAAAGTGGTCTCTTTGTGAAGGAAAGCAGCCAGACTTAGAACTTCTTGTACCAGTTCATATAAACTGGCAGTACAAATATCTATGTGCAATGTTAAGCATTCACTACTACAGATTTATTTCCTATTTCTGGCTAAGTTGCTTAATGTACTGTTAAAAATACAGTTTGGGGTTTTTTTTAGTGTTGGTGGTTTTGTTTTTAGTTTTGAATTTTGTTTGTTAAATTTAGTTTTGTTTTTGTCTTCTAATACTCCACTTCTTGTAGCTTCTGTTCCTTGAGTTAAATCTATTTATCATCACATCCTCAAGTGGACTATAAATGGCAACATTAGTGCTTGCTTGCCTTGATTTTTTTATTTTTTTTTAATTGCCTGAGCTATATATTTGTTTGGGTAGAATAGGTATGATATTTGCATCTATTTAATTTTAGTGCATTTATGTACTTTCTTCCATACCTAGGGATAAGTTCAGATTGGTTTATAGCAATCCAATTAAAAATAAGGTGATATGTTTTCATCTTTCTTGTTTGACATTGATTCACATTCAGTTCACATGAATAGTGATAAATTGCCAACTGTGAAATAAGCAGATACTTCCAATCAGAACATTTTTTATGTAAAATTTAGCACCACTACTTGACTCAGCAGACTGAGGCTTGAATGTGAGTTACAGTGAATTTACATTTCCATCACTGAGTTTGTCCCCTGGTAGCAAGGTTGCATTACTATTTTATTGGCAACATAATTTCAGACTCTTGGGGTATTAATAACACTAGAACTCACTTTAATGTATTTTCAGATAAAAATTCATTTCTAAAAGGCCTCATGACTTTGGGCCCATCACCTGCAAAATACTGGATTATTGCTGTGGTATAGTGAACTGTTACAGCTGAACAGGTAAAAAAAAGTCATAATCAAGAAATCAAACACTTTTAAGGGGCCTTCTCCACACTGCAGATTAACTACAGAGCCTTTTAGTTACTCCACCTGAACAATGTGAAAATGGTCTGGCAGGCAGCATGAGATGCCTTAATTGTCAAATGCTGTACCCATATGTCAGCCATGTATTCCTCAATTTAATAAGTTTACCACCTCATTTGATATTTCCAAACTTATCCTCTGTTCACTATTGCTATCCTCACCCTTTGAACAGTTGAAAAATTTAGCCTGTTTATTTTGGTTTGTCTTTTTTCCATACAAATAGATACCAATTTGATGTCTGGGGAAAAGGTCTGTGTCTAACCATTAGAACAAATGCACTCTGATGAGTATGGAGCAGGAACTGAGTCTAAATCTGTGCGCTCTCAAGGGTACATTGTTGAGTTTCTTGTGGGTCTTGGGTCTTCAAAGAGACAAGAGCAGTTTTTGGTTGTTGTAAAGTTGTTTATTGCATGACTACATCAGTCTCAAAGGCAAAGAGTTCAGAGTATTAAAGTCCAGGCTAAAAGTTTTCTGGCATAGAATCCTGATGTTTTGAGCAGAAGCAGCAGCAGCCCTCATACCTTTTTTCTTCTTCTTCTTCTTTCTTCCTTCTGTTGTTGTTGCTGTTTTCACCCCAATACAGGGCAATTTTATTCATAAATCATTCACTAAAAACACAATTCTAAAACATTCTTCCTACACCAATCTGAGTAGATTCTATTCATTAATTCTAATGTGGGAAAGTAGTGTTCTTACCCAAAATCTACACATGTATTTTTATCTGTTTAGGCAAATAATTCTATCTGGTCTTTCTAGAAATGCAAGCAATGTTCTTACTGTGTTTTTGTCATGTCTGGAGCTAAGTTAATGTTGTAGAAGGTAACACTACTGGACTTTAGGCTTTAGGGATTTTTACTAGCTAACACAGTCTCTTAAGGCACTTAAGATATATTATTATTTACTTAAAACTAAAATTTACATTCCTACTTCATGACTATGGCTTAATATATTTTAGTTTAGCTCTAAAGGCTCCAGTTTAATCCCTGCATTTCCTTCTCTCTCTGAGGGACACGGAGAGGCTTTTGTTTCATGCATTCCAACAGTACATGGCTTTTGTGTTTGAAATCATGAGTGAGCAGGGTAGATTAAACCTGTTCCATCCAGGGGGAATAGGGTGCTGCTAGTGAAGAGAACAAAGTGTAGCCTACATCATGTCAGGGTACATTAATCTAGCCCTGGTTGTTTCTCTAGATGCAATTTTACACCTGGAGAAATAACTCCATTTGACCAAGATGCATGACAAATCTTATTTTCCCAGGTTTCTTCACCCATGTTTCTCAAAGATTAGTCTGAATTCTCCAGGTACCCCAACAGGATACTATTTGCTCCCTGGTTTTGGTTAAGCATTCTTTCCAATATCAAATCCTTATACTTCTCAGGCTGCCTCCACCTGTTACATTTAACCTGCTCTGACATGCAGCCTTGTCAAGTAGCCAGAGTGCTGTCTCCAAGAGTGTTCTATGTATTAAATGTTTTCTGAACACTTTCTTGACCTGTTTTGTTTCTGGACTTAATGGCATTTAAATCTACATATGTTTTTGTTCAATTCCCTTGCCTTATCTGCTCTGAGGGACTGATCCTTCTTCTTTACTTTGCTAACAAATGTAAAAAATTCATTATATGGGTTCCTGTTTATGATTTTTTTCCTTCTAATGCCCACATTACTTGTCCTATTCTGTTTTGAATTATCTTAAGGCTTTGTAATATCTGCTATGATTGTGACTTTTAATTGATCTACTCTACAGAATGTTGATAGCATTATAAAGTACTCCTATTAGTTGTATCTGGGCAAGACCAAAAAGCTGAGATCTGTTCAAGTTGGCTTGCAAGTCCCTCTAAGAAAAACAAACTGGAATATTCTTCTTCCTTGCCCTATGGCCATCATCCCAAAGGTTTTAAGTAGTGTTAACTTCTATTTTTAGGTATTGTCTCCTGATTCTGGAGAGAAGAATTGTGGATTACTGCCACTTTGGATGAATGCTTTAGAAAATGCTGTGATGTATTAAAGCTTTCTAGCCTTCTTTAGGGATGATTTATCTAAATATCCAGTTGCAAATATCACACTGGTTTGTGGAACAATTCAGGCATTCAAAATAATTCTTTCATTTTTTTCAGTTCTTTGCTTTCATAAAGTAAGGTGTTAAAACACAAAATGTGGATCAAATATCACTCCCACATTAAGTGAAAACTCAAGTTTTTTGTAATTTCTCCCCTCTCTTACTATACTTAGGGAGTTCTACCAAACAGATGGGTATACATTAAGAGAAGAAATATAAAGGAGATCAACTTCATTCTGAATTAAGTCATTCTGACCATTAGAATTAGCTAAATATCCTGCTGTTTTAGAATGAGTTTAATGCCAAATGTTTTCCCAACAGATTACATTGCAACAAACTGAAGCTGTCTATGGCTTTCCTAAAAGAAAAATTCTACTGCTGGAAATCTTGGCAGTAACCATGGGAGTTTTTTCAAGAAGGTGCAACCTTCAGGGATCTCTGGTTCTATTGATGCTCCTTGCTTTTTGTGTAAAACCTGTCAGACAACCTCTGCAACTTGCTGACAAACTGCTCCTAATTCTGGCATGTAACTTATAACTGGAACTGGGCAGAAATCATTCTCCCCCATCTCTCTTACTGCCAATACTAAACACT